ATCTTAACCCTAATCTCCTTAAGTTTCTTCTCCCTCAAATCATTCCGTCCCCCTGTCCAGATATCCACTTCGGCCTCCCCAGTTACTGTTGTGGAGGAACGATTTGTCGAGAAAATAGAGGTAGAACAAGATGTTGCTGATGACTTGTTTACGGATATTTACCATTCAGCGGAGGTGTTCCGGCTGAATTACGCGGAGATGAACAGGAAATTCAAGGTTTACATTTACCCTGACGGAGATCCAAACACGTTTTACCAGACGCCGCGGAAGCTCACAGGGAAGTACTCCAGCGAGGGCTACTTTTTCCAGAACATAAGAGAGAGTAAGTTCCGTACGGAGGATCCAGATCAGGCTCACCTTTTCTTCATCCCTATTTCATGCCACAAGATGCGAGGCAAGGTAAAACTTGATTCTTGATCTGTCAAATTGTGTGAACTGTTGGATCATTTTGATGCCCTGAGATGGATCTACATTTTGCCTAATCTACTGAATGGCTGCATTAGTTAGGTTGCATTTCCTCGTATGCACTTGCTTTAACATGGTTGTGTCGGCCGCCCACTCCTGCTGCGGGATGAACTGCATTTCTGAGTTTGTTGAACTTGAATCTATTTGTAATATTAGCCTTATAATAACTGGTTGTTGCAGAAGATTGAATTGATGTTTAAACCTTTGCTCAGACAGTCAATCTGATAATAATTGGTTGTAGCTGCAATTAATTGGGCACGGTTTCTCCGTACACCTTGCATTTTAACTCTTTAAGCAGTTCCTCCTTTATTAATAAGAACATGTTATACTGAATGCAATGATTTCATGCATGCTATGTATCTGCTCATGGACATTAATCTAAACATGGCTTATATCGGCATACAATGACTTGAGCAGTAGTCTATCTATTTCAGTTTTTAATGATTTATATGCTGTTTGTGAATCAATTTACTCGTATGTCTTGGCACTTAGCTCTAGTTGAAAGGACTCTTGTCTATATAGGAATCGATCCTTGCACCCTGGTGAATGATGCTTGCTTGTATGACTGCTTGCAGGGAACATCCTATGAAAATATGACCATAATCGTCCAGAATTATGTAGACAGCTTAATGGCTAAATATCCTTACTGGAATAGAACCCTTGGAGCAGATCATTTCTTTGTCACTTGTCATGATGTTGGTGTGCGGGCAACTGAAGGAGTTCCATTTCTTGTAAAGAATGCCATTCGAGTTACCTGCTCTCCTAGCTATGATGTTGGATTCATTCCACACAAAGATGTTGCTCTTCCTCAAGTGCTGCAACCATTTGCTCTTCCGGCTGGAGGAAATGATTTGGAAAATCGGTAATAGCCTAGTGCTCAATAACTTGTTCTTACTTATCCATGTACATTTCAGTAAGTGAATGCTTGCTTTTATTTATTTACTTTTATCATTGATCTATTTGAGTGATGCATGCAAGTCTGTTGATGAAAAAAACCTTAAGGGTTGTTGATGTTGGCATTTAATAGGAAGTTATGATCCTCCAAATTTCATAGGCATACCAGTTGTTTAACAGCAATCTAAGCTGCATGCTGCCATAATCACTGACTTGAACTTTAGGACACACAGATTTTCTCATTTTAAACACAGTCACATTTCTTTGTTGCTATGATGCACACAGTTTGCCCAGCTGCTGTCTACTGTCACTGGAGGATTTTTTTATATGACTTAAATTCATTGTGAGTTAGGGGAGAATTAGTTCTTCAGATTATAAGAGCTAACACTCACTGTTAGCTTTAATTCTTCTGAAATTAGAATAAACTGTTAGCCTTGTGGAATGATGCATCCATAACTTCTTCTGGTGGAAATATGTGGACTAAGTTTGAGTGATAACAGCTCTTACTAGCTCTGGACATGTTAGAATCTAGAATGTAATCCCAAAATAGGAAGTTAATATTAAAAGTTGTGATTTTTCATGTATGTTTTGTTAAGTAATGTCTTGTGTTTGTGGTGTCTGATTGAAACTATTCAGATTTTTTCTTGTCTTTTATTTGGTAATGATGGTAAATCTTAACATGCCTGCTTCTTTTTATTTCTCTCATCTTTCAAGGTGTATTGTTCTATTCCATATCTTCTTACCAAACTCTGGTTATGGAGACCCTAAGTCCTATTTTCTGTTGTGTCTTTTTCTGTCTTTGATGCACAAAACTGGTTATTGGTATTTCCATCATTAGCTGTGGAATCTTGCCTGCTACAGATTGATTAGATAAATTTGTGCCCTTTACAGAGATCAATGATAATTTTTAACAGAAGAACCAAGCAGGAAAAGTGAATAGCCTCATATTAACTAAAGGTGCGGTTTGCAGGACAACTCTTGGTTTTTGGGCTGGTCATCGTAACTCCAAGATTAGAGTTATATTGGCACGTGTATGGGAAAATGACACTGAACTTGATATTTCAAACAACAGAATAAGTAGGGCTGCTGGACCCCTTCTGTACCAGAAGAGATTTTTCAGAACTAAATTTTGTATTTGCCCGGGTGGCTCTCAGGTCAATAGTGCCCGCATAACTGACTCAATTCATTATGGATGTGTACCTGGTAAGCATTCAACTCTTTTTGCGATCGAAGTGAAGGTTTACATTTGATTTTGTCATCAGTGCATGTTTAATGATACTTGTGTACAACAAAGAGGACCTTAAAACCAAAATACAAACAAAATATGATTTATTCTAGTCTGGTCCAAGAAGGGTTATAATTTTGCCTGTCCTAAAATTACATTGAAATACCTAGATATTGTGATTAAGGCATTAAGGGCCCGTTTGGTATGGCAGTTTTGGGGCAGTGGTCAACGGTTTTGCTTAAACTGCTAAGCATAAGTCTTTGGTAAACGTATATATTTCGAAACCACTACAAACAAGGTGTTTGGTAAAAATTTTTATTTAGTGGTTTGGGACTAGCAGATAGCGGTTAGGGTCTATACCGCTAGCGGATTCAAAAAGCTAGCTTAGGTAGCTTTTTGTACCAAACCGCTAGCAAATTTGAATTTTTTAATTTTATTGACAAATTTATTCATTTTAATTTTTTAATTTTTTATCACAATTTTTAATTAATATTTATATAATAAGTTTCAATTTTGTTTTTTTACCTTTAATAACATTAAGTGATTATAATATTTTTATTTTTTGCATTAATTTATCATTAAAAAATATATTATCTTAAAAAACAAAATTTGCTAATTAGACAAAATGATTAATTTTTTTATTTAA